TAATCAAACACTTTTGATGCAGTTTGAAGATTATTGTGGTTAGACCGTGTTTGGAATGTTCGCAATGTCATGTTATTAAAACTAGCATTATAGAAGGTGCATGTCATACATGCCGTGTACACGCACCCTCTTGATCAAATTCGAGCGCGCCCATTTTGCGGGTCGTCGGAAGGTTGTACGGGGAGACGATGGCGAGAAGACAGACACACAATCGACAGACTTCGGAATCGCCTTGTCGAACTGCAGAGGGAAAAAAAGAGAAGGCGCGCAAGAGAGGAAAAAAAAAAAAAAATTTTTTTTCTCTCGTAAATATTTAAGCAGTAGGTGCGAAAGTAGGCAGGTACGTACGCACATACGTACATACGTACATAACAGGAAAATAATTTTTTTGTGTGTAAATATTTAGTGGTACTGTATGCATGCATGCATGCATGTATGTATGTATGTATTTTCTATGTATGTATGTAAGAGATGAATAATTTTTTTCTCCTGCACAGAGCTGTGTGGACAAAAGTAAAAAGTAAAATAAAAAAAATAAAATGAAAATAATAATAATAAAAATAAAAATAAAAAAAAAAATAAATACAGGTTTATTGAAGGCATCAAACCAGAATTAGAACTTTAATTTGTAGTGTTTGTGTTGCAAGAAATCTGCAAGTCACGTTTATACTTCCTTTCGGCAGCCAACCTGTCTGATCACAACTTTTTCCCGTCATGTTGCGAAAAAAAAATTTTTTTTTTTTTTCTTTCAAGTGTTCTGACCCAAGAAGGTTAGATCGGACGGACACAGCGCAAATCCATGCGTAATACGACGAATAACATAGCTGCAAGATATTGTTTGCATATTAAAAAAAAAAAAAAAAAAAAAACCAAGGTGACACAGTATATGTAAAGAATAGTGTGATATCACGAGTTCTGCAGACCGAGGTTGGTTAGACGACATCAAGATGTTAAAAAAGAAAAACAGAGCATTTTCCCGATGAAGAAATTTGGCCCCCGCATATTTGCTCAGAGGATTTGCCGTGCGACCGCGATATCAGATTGTGCTGCGCCCGAAAATTTGGTGGATCATACGACGCCCGTCCGTCCGTCATAATTTAAATGATTTTTGTCGAGTACATGGATGTCAGTGTGATCATGACGATGAGTCCTGCCTCGACGATTTTCCATGTATGTGTGGTCATGCATGGATATGTCATTTATGGTCATAAAACGTGCTATTTTATTTGACCTCTTTTTTATTTTAATGTCTATTTTTGATGTTATCATTTTATAAAGTTTCCAATCACACTGATGCCGCGACAATGTCGCCCCTTGAGGAAATAGTCTATCTTTCATTTATGCAGTTAGAGAACTTTGTTTATTGGGGGATGATTTATAATTATTATTTTCTGGTCTGCATGGCGGCAGATCACAAATTATCTTGATTCCATTGCCTACCCCTATTTTAAACTACAAAATGAGACATTCAATCACAATTGCGCATCGAATCGGTTAATTCACACTACTACATCATATTGCATTTAACTCGTCAAGTGCCTACCTTTTATTATCGTGGTGGCGGTCACCGGGTACGTGTGTAAGTGTGTCGTCGCTTTGACACTCACCCATTCATTCATTCATTCATTCATTCATCTGTCTATCCACCCATCCGCTCATTCATTCGTTCGTTCACTCTTTCTGTACGGGCGAACAAAGTTAGCTCAGGAATATTTGCAATGGTATGACATACTAGGCAATGGGATATTACAATATCATCTATTATTTGCTGCAATTGATGGATAATCGACACAACAAATATGACCAAATTCATTACAATA